GGGTGACAATCCAACCATTCTTGTTCCACAGGTCCTTGTGTTAAGACAGGTAGAAGGTGGGCATTGCATGTCTGTGAAGTTATTTTTGCAACTTCAGTTTTTCTAATACTTGTGTGATTTAGTCAAGTGACTGTAACTGTTATTTAATTTCATAATTTAGGACAATGTGAGATGCATTCCAAAAAAGAAAGTCTTTAAATGCACAATGAGGAATTCTTTTTCTCTTGTTAGTGACTGGCTGTGGCTAATAATCTGTGGACTACTATTTTTTTTTCTGTTTTAATCCTGTTCAGTGCTAATGGTATGCTTGAAGTAATGTTGCCTTACATTGTCTTTTGTTGTGGTGTGTATATATATACGTGTGTGTATATATTCATGGTATATTCTTACACATAGTAAAATGTGCTTCATAGAACTCATATAGACATATCCATGTAACTTCCATATGTGTTGCTAATGACACAGTGTTTGATAGCCTCCTTGATTCATCTGAACTCGTTTTAACATTGTTGGGTAGTCTAGTTCATAATGTTCCATTCTGTAGTAAATATAATTAATCTGTGATGCATATGCAAGGCCTGATTTCTGCTGTCCTGAATGCACCAAACTCAAATGCATAAGCTGGAATTAACACACTTACCTGAATAGAAATGGGCTTGCTTGAAAATGGCTATGGTATGGACAAGGATACTGATGCGAGCAATAATAGTGACGATATGCTGGAAAGGACAAGCAAGTGGAGTGCAAGCTCTTGGGAACCTGGTGTGTATAGTCCAGTATGTTCCGGCTGTTAAATGGCAATATTGGTGACTGTCTTTGCATATGCTGCTTACATATCTCTATTTTGTGTTAAAAAAAAAACAGCCTAAAGCTTCAATTGCCAAGTATAGTCCATGCTTGCATTGCTCATTGCTTTTCAAAGTGGCTTCAAGTATTAGCTTCCATGTCTTGAAATCCAGTTAAACAACAACAAAATTTGAGACAATTAGAACAAAAGCAATCATTCTGATTTATTTCATACAGTTAACATTGAGAACCACCTTCAATGTGTTCTTTCTGTTGCTATGGAATACAACTAGGAAATAGTTTAAAAAAAAAAAAGCTGAAGAAAGCACTATTATTGATGCATTTCCACTAATGTAAACTTTTAAAAAATAGCATTCATACTATTAGTACTTACTATTATATCTAATAGTAGTTTCAGTCCTTTAGTATTTGTATTTAGATTTGATTTTTATAAACAGTCCTAGAGACAAAACTCTGAAGTGTCCAAATCATCACTGCTGGTCAAACTTTCTAAGTTAGGTCTTAAGGTTCTACCTTCTCCTGTCCCAAGTGACCAAACCTTATTGTTTGATTTAAGATCACCTGTTTCTGAAAAAAAAATGTTTTTTTTAATCAATGTTATCAGTTCATTCACACCAACTTTGTCATCTTTACCACTGTTGTGAAATACTACATAAAGAATTTTTTTTTTTACCAAGGCCTGTAGTGACAGGATAAAGGGCAACAGTTCTAAACTGAAAGAGGGTAGGTTTAGATTGGAAATAAGGAAGACATTTATTATGATGAAGGTGGTGAGGCACTGGAACAGATTGCCCAGAGAAGCTGTGGATGCCCCCGCCCTGGAAGTGTTCAAGGTCAGGTTGGATGGGGCTTTGAGCAACCTGATCTAGTGGAAGATGTCTTTGCCCATGGCAGGGGGACTAGATGACCTTTAAAGGTCCCTTCCAACCCAAACCATTCTGTGATTCTGGTATTTTAAATGTGTGCAGAAGGAATGGGGGCAAGCTGAAGGCTTAATGCAACCTAGCTGTGTCTCTTTACTGTGTATCACAGTGGTTTAGCTTATTCAAACATGTCTTAAAAAGGCATTTACAAATCTTGTTTTAATTCATTCCATTTTCAGTTTTAACAAATAGCTGATATTGCTTTATCTCAAGAAGTCTGCTGTCTTGCTGGTTACTTATTTCAGCTAACATGTATGCATGTTACATAGTGCTTTTAATTTGAATCAGGGACATTTCTGAAGTCACTCATTAAAAGAAATTCTTACTGGTTGCTGTGGTATAAAACTGAGATTTAAGAAGCATCAGTGAAGATTCTTTTATGCAAAGGAGAAGCAAATGGTTCTTCCCATCCCTTCACCAATAAAGTTATTTAATCTCAGCACAAGATAAAAGAATCAGACCTCTCCCTTCTCTACCACAGCAAGACAAGTTTCTTTATGAATTTGCAGAAGGTGAACAAACTTTGCCTACTCTTTCTCTCTTCGGATTAGTTCATTGGAAATAATAGACAAATTGCATGTATAAAGACTTGGTCACATAGCTTATGAAGTTCTGTACTGGGGAGTGAGATGCCTGTGGTAGTCCTTGTATTGTCTATGAAATTTTGCCTAGTGCAGTGGTTGAAGAACATAGTAATGCTTCTCTCTTACTCAGATCGTAGCCAGTAAATTTTCCAAGTGTTGCAGATGACCTCCTGACACACTGTCTTGTATCCATCCAGTACCGACTTTGCCTTTTAAATTAGTTTAGCAGATCTGGTGTCCTCCCTGGCCAGTTTATTTTAGAAATAAATCTCAGAGAAGAATTCATACAGATTTTCCTTCTAACTTCTTTACTGCTAACAGCCAACTTCCAAAATCAAGGATTTGTGTAGAAGTCCTGAGTTGTGTTTAACATCTACCTTGCTTAAAAATCTTATCTGTGTAGGCTGTTTACAAAATAGATGTTTCGGCCACAGAGTGCAAAAAGTGCTTATTTCCTATGCAGTCTGGTTACAAAAATGTTTCCAGTTATGAGGAAAGTATCCCATTTTGTCTGTGTTCCTCAGTCATCTGTATATGCATGCTGTAGGCTTCCACACAGCGAGTGCTTTGTAAGTAGTAGTTTTCACACATTGTAGTTTTGGGGCACTGACAGTATTTGAAAGAAGATGCAAGTAAGTTTAACAGATTGCAAAGTCATGTGTTAGCCATTAATCACTTGCAAAACCACCTTTATATTTTCAGTTCTTCGACCTCAGCTCACCAGTATTTTCAGGTAAATAGATTTCTGGACTTTGATTATATTGAAAATGGGCTGAAAAAGCTCTTTATGTCTTTATTTTTTTTATTTGTGATTTAGGGCCAAGAATATCTCAGTTCTGAGTCTTCAAGTGAAAGAAAAGGTCACTGATTGTAAGAAAGTTGGTCTTTCTTGTGAAGTATCATTAAAAAGCCATCTGCTTTTTCAAGGGAGTATTGTGTAAGATAATAGTTACTTCACTGCTACTTACTGCAGTGCATGTTTCTTCAGTTGCAGGAAGACTGTGTTTTGTCTGTAAAACTGGCTGCGATCTCTCTGATGTTAGGCTTTTACTGATCTGATTTTATTTCTTTCTAGTGGACACTTGCTTAGAGTTCCACTTCTGGAAAGTGGAGGACAATATTTTATTTTCTCTGCTACTTTTTTTGAGCAGGTCTAAACTGTGTATTGGAGGTTGGTTCCGAAGTGCCCAAGTTTCTTTGATTCAACATGGTAGGCCCATGTGGTGTTGGGACAGTCTTGCGTGGTGATAGCTGTCTGGTCCTGAAAATGAGATGGCTGCAGAAGTTCTGTTGATAGGCCAAAAAGGGGACCGTAGTTGGAGTAGCATATTAGACTTATAGGGCTGTGTTGCATGTGGTTTCTGAGTTGGTGCTGTATCTGCTCTGCGCAACATTATATGGCATGTAAGTTATGCTGATGTCCAAAATGTATTTAAAATGCTTTCTGAAATACTTGAAAACTTCTAATACTATACACACTGCCTGCCAGATAACCCTCGTGGTCCCATTTCCAAGAGCCTCTTAAAGAATTAAGGAGGTGGCCTGAACATTTGACAAGGTTAATAGATCTTGCATCTCAGATATTATTTTCAACCATTTTTCTTTCAGTGAATACTATCTAAATAAAACACTGAAAAGATCAAACTCTCTTTCTTAAAAAGATAAAAAATTGCACGTCATGCATATTTTCTCATAGCAACTTTCTAACATTTAATAGTATTAGAAAAAAAATAAAAAATTCTAGGATATTAAGGTTTTAGCATAGTAATTTTGCTGGTATTTGTTTCTGCTGCATCTATATCTTTACTCTCGAGGACCAGCACTTCCCTGTAATTCCACACTTGAGAAATGAAGTACTGCTCACTTTACTCATGCTATGGAGAATTCTAAGCAAACATTACTTGACTACAAACAGCCAGTGCAGTGGTAAAGCAAATGATGTCGTGAGGTTCAACAAGGCCAAGTGCAAGGTTCAGCACCTGGGTTGGGGTAACCCCCGGTATCAATTCAGGCTGGGGGAAGAAAGGATTGAGAGCAGCCCTGCCGAGAGGGACTTGGGCGAACTGATGGGTGAAAAGCTGGACATGCGCCGGCAATGTGAGCTGGCCGTCCAGCTCTGGAGCGCTCAGCACAAGAAGGACATGGAAGTGTTGGAGCGGGTCCCGAGGAAGGCAACAAAACTAATCCGAGGGTTGGAGCCCCTCTCCTATGAGGACAGGCTGAGAGAGTTGGGGTTGTTCAGCCTGGAGAGGAGAAGGCTGCGGGGAGACCTGACTGTGGCCTTTCAGTACCTAAAGGGGGCCTGTAGGAAAGATGAGGAAAATCTTTTTTAGTAGGGCCAGCTGTGACAGGACAAGGGGTAACGGTTTTAAACTGAAGCAGGGTAGGTTTAGACTAGATATAAGGAAGAAATTCTTTACAATGAGGGTGGTAAAACCCTGGAACAGGTTGCGCAGAGAGGTGCTGGAGGCCCCATCCCTGGAAACATTCAAGACCAGGTTTGACGGGGCTCTGAGCAACCTGATCTAGTTAGCGGTGTCCCTGCTCACTGCAGAGGGGTTGGACTAGATGGCCTCTAGGGGTGCCTTCCAACCCAAAACATTCTACGATTCTATGATTAATAAATTTGAACGGAGGAGTCTTGTGAAAATAATTGTGGATCAACAAAGTTAAGGTAAACATTTGCTATACTCAGAGTATGACAGGTAGCTGAAGCAGACTTCAACAAATGAACATGTGTTAGAGAAGTCTCCTTCTTCTGTGTTTTACAGGTAATACAGAAGAAAACTTTTTTGTATATCTAAAGAATAGGAGTCCACAGCTTGCAATCTGTGTAAATGAAGACAGAACTTTAAATTAGTGATCTCCATTTTGGAATTGAAAAGCTTGTAACTATGTGATAAAAGCAACATAGCTATGAAATAAAATACAAATACTGTATTTACTTACTTTGTCATCTTTATTTCATTATGGCTGCTTGTAACTTGCTCTCACAAATTTTTATGTCTCTGCAATAAAAACTTTTTGTTGTGTTTCAGCTAACTGTACATAGAGGAAATTGCAGTCTAGCCATATTGAAAGAAAAATCTAACTGGTGTTTTAGACAGCAGTCAGTAAACTGAAGCAGTTTCTAATAATGTAGTATTTTTTTCGTAATTGTTCAAAATTCCTTTTCCCCAAGGCAATTTCACTGTGAAATTTCTCCTTAAGAAAGGGCTATGGCCTATATGAAACTAATAGTTGAGTTGCTGTATTTTTTATATTATGGAAGAAGTGTAAAATTACGCAGTGGTTATGAGAAAGGCTGTTGTCTTTTTAGAAAAGTCAATCTTAAATTAACTGTGGGAGTGGAGAACACTTGGCCATATTTCTGGTGTTTAGCAGTGAAAAGAATTTATTTTTTTTGCTCCTGTATATTTTTGCTAAACAGATCTCTTGACTTAGACTAGTCATACTAAGTGCCTTTAAGTGTTATCTGTGCAGGCTGGTATTGTTTTTCATCTACTAAACTTATTACTTCCAGTGGGATTCTTTTAGGAAAGCATGGAGATTGTAAAAGTACATCTTTTATTCTGAAGATATTTTTCCCTTTTTTTTTTTTTATTTAAAAAATAATTTTGGTCTTAAACTGCTTATAGCAAACTCCTATTGTGGCCTATGAATTGGAAAACTAACTTCACTTAAATAATTTCTCCATAGACCTTATGGATCTATATGGACTTGGAGGTTTGTAATTCCTCAAACAGTATGTGGTGGTTTGACCTTGGCTGGATGCCAGGGGCCCTCCAAAGCCGCTCTATCACTCCTCTCTAACTGGACAGAGGAGAGAAAAGTAAATCAAAAGGCTTGTGGGTCAAGATAAAGACAGGGAGAGACCATTTTATCAGTTACCATCATGGGCAAAACAGACTCAACTTGAAAAAAATTAATTTATTATCAATCAAAATCAGAGAAGGAGAGGAGAAAAACTGCTAGATCTTAAAAACCTTCCCCCCACCCCTCCCTTCTTCCTGGTCTCAACTTCGCTCCCACTTTCTCTACCTACTCCCCCCAGCGGTGCAGGGGGATGGGAATGGGGGCTGGGGTCAGTTCATCACATGTTATCTCTGCCACTTCTTCATCCTGGGGAGAGGACTCTTCCCCTGCTCCAGCATGGGGTCCCTCTCATGGCAGACAGTCCTCCATGAACTTGTCCAATGTCAGTCCTTCCCACAGGCTACAGTTCTTCACAAACTGCTCCAACATGGGTTCATAATTTCCACAGGGTGCAGTCCCTCAGGAGCAGATTGCTCCAGCGTTGGGTCCTCTGCGGGGTCACAAGTTCTGCTGGCAAACCTGCTTCGGCATGGGCTCCTCCCACCACAGGTCCGCAAAGTCTTGCCAGGAACCTGATCTGGTGCAGGCTTCCCACGGGGTCACAGCCTCCTCCCTTCGGGCATCCACCTGCTCTGGCGTGGGGTCCTCCCTGGGCTACAGGTGGAGATCTGCTCCATCGTGGACCTCCATGGCCTGCAGGGGGACAGCCTGCCTCACCATGGTCTTCACCATGGGCTGCAGGGGAATCTCCACTCCGGCGCCTGGAGCACCTCCTGCCCTCCTGCTGCACTGACCTGGGTGTCTGCAGGGCTGTTTTCTCTTGCATCCTTTCACTTCTCTTGTCTCTCCGGCTACTGAGCCGCAGATGTTTTTTTCTCCTTCTTAAATACGTTATCCCAGAGGCGCTTCCATTGTCGCTGATTGGCTTGGCCTTGGCCAGCGGTGGACACAGGGAAAACTTCTAGCAGCTTCTCACAGAAGCCACCCCTGTAGCGCCCCCACTACCAAGCCCTTGCCGCAGAAACCCAATACACAGTATTGCTCATGTTCTTAAAGCAGAATTCCCAATTTTTGATTTCAGTTTATTTGACTGAAACTGATGTATCTTTGTAGACTTAAAAAATAAACAAACCTTTCATGGGAGTTGTGTTCTGGGTTTTTTTCAATATGTCCTGCATTTTCATCACCCAACACCAAGGTAAGAGTTTTTATTTTTAGAATTTTTTTGTATTTGAGTTTTGTCCTGCAAGGGACAATTACAGGAAAAATCCTAATGTTTTCTAAATGGTGAGTTTTCCTTTTAGTCTTGTGACGTGCAGAAATGTACTCACAGAAAACTGACAGAGGACAGTATCTCTTTAAATTATGGTGGGAAAAAGTTGCAGTGATAAAACTTATGGTAGAAGGTTTCTTAGAAGACTGTTTGGTCCCTTGTCTATAAAGAGAAACAGTGTGCATACTTAATCTTGTGTGAGTTATCACAAAAATGGTGGAAAATGGTAGTGGATTCATCTTGTCCTTCCCCAAATTATACGTTTATTTTACAGTTATTATACACCATTCTGCAGTTCAGAAGGCAAAGTATCCTTGGACTAACTGAATTCTGCTCTTTCTATTTGTTTTGGTGGCTATCTGCTAATTTATAGTTTAGTCTCTATTTATATTTACAAAGCTATTGCATTAAAGAAGGTAACCATGGCTTAATTAAGAGCCATTACTTTAAGGTCTCTTCTGAGACATCTCGTTGCTTTAAATCTGAAATTGCAGAATAAATTCTTGAAGAGCTGAGTTGTAGTCCTTACTTGTAAACCTTAACTTCTCTTATTCATCGATGACCTGGACGAGGGGACAGTGTACCATCAGCAAGTTCGCTGATGACACAAAACTGGGAGGAGTGGCTGATACACCGGAAGGCTGTGCTGCCATTCAGTGGGACCTGGACAGGCTGGAGAGTTGGGCAGAGAGGAACATGATGAAATTCAACAAGGGCAAGTGTCAAGTGCTGCACCTGGGAAGGTTGAACCCCATGCACCAGCACAGGCTGGGGGCTGACCTTCTGGAAAGTAGCTCTGCCGAGAGGTCCCTGGGAGTCCTGGTGGACGACAAGCTGACCATGAGCCAGCAGTGTGCCCTTGTTGCCAAGAAGGCCAATGGTATCCTGGGGCGCATTAAGAGCAGCATGGCCAGCAGGTCGAGGGAGGTTCTTCTCCCCCTCTACTCTGCCCTAGTGAGACCCCACCTGGAGTACTGTGTCCAGTTCTGGGCTCCCCAGTTCAAGAAAGGTGAGGAACTCCTAGAAAGAGTCCAGAGGAGAGCAACTAGGATGATTAGGGGACTGGAGCATCTTTCCTATGAGGAAAGGCTAAGAGAGTTGGGCTTGTTCAGCCTGAAGAAGAGAAGACTGAGAGGGGACCTTATCAACACATACAAATATCTTAAGGGTGGATGTCATGAGGATGGAGCCAGACTCTTTGCAGTGGGACAGGACAAGGGGCAATGGGTACAAACTGAAACATAAGAAGTTTCAGTTGAACATGAGGAAGAACTTCTTCACTTTGAGGGTGACAGAGGACTGGAACAGGCTGCCCAGGGGGGTTGTGGAGTCTCCTTCTCTGGAGATATTCAAAGCCCGCCTGGACGATGTCCTGTGTAACATGCTCTAGGTGAACCTGCTTTAGCAGGAGGGTTAGACTAGATGATCTCCCGAGGTCTTTTCCAACCCTTGCGATTCTGTGATTCTGTAAAAAGGAAGGGAACTGTTTTGAGAGAGTTGGAACATTTTTAAAAACTCACTAAATGTTGTACTGACATATGAGGCTTGTGTGCTAAGTTTCTCAGCTGAATTGTCTGGTGACTCTGACTTTTGCCAGCCACATACTATGCAGAGTTTCTGTGACGTAAAACATAGCCATGCTTAAGAGAAAAGTATAAAATCATAGATATAACCATATGCTCCTTGGCAACCAATTGCTACAGTTTTATTGATCCCCGCTGGAAAAAACTGAGAATGGATTCTTTTCATTTGCATGCTAAACTTCTGAATCTTAGTATTTAATTTTTCAGGTACTTTAAAATTTTTTTCCCTCTGTTTATCAAGGAAAGCTGGATTTTCACTTTAAAAACATTTGAGGACAACAGCACAATTCTGGGAACTACAGCTGTGATTAAAAATACAAACTGTTGTGAGATTTTTGATGTTGTATGCTCTTATCGTTGCTGTTTTATTTCCTGCTCTGTGTTCTAAAACTAAATGTGGGTGACGATTTTAATGTTGCATTGAGAGAACATGCTATTGAGCAGTGGGAACACATAGCAGATAATAAAGGCTTGATCGTTTAACAAAGGTTTTGATTGGTTTTTTTTTTTAATTTATATGATTTGGATA